CGCCCCAAGGTTGGGAGCGGCGGAGGCGGCGGGGGTGCGGGTGGGGGTAGTGGTGGAGGCGGGTCGTCCGGTGCCGGTGCGGACGTGGGGACCCTGCCCGGTCCAGCTGCCCCGCTGCCTCCACAGTTGCAGCAGCCGCAGCAGCAGCAGTCGCCGCAGCCGCAGCCTTCGCAGCAGCCGCAGCAGCCGCCGCAGACGAGGCAGGCGAGTACTCTCCCACCTGGGTGGCCTGGAGCTGGTGGTGGTCGTGCGCGTGGTGGTGCACCGGGTGGTGGTTCTGGAGGCGGGCCCTGTCAGTACCAGATCCAGACCGGTCCTCGCCGCGGCTTCGTTTGCGGTAAGATCGGTCATTCTACTCCTCGCTGTTTTCGTCGCCTGGACGACCTGTTCCGCCAGCGCTTTGGCCCGGCGCCCGACCTCCCGGACTGGCACAGCTTGCTTAGGCGTAGCATTAGGATTTTTGACTTGGACATGGATGCCATTGTAGCGGCCTTGCATGTGATGTATGCTGATGACTCTAGTGTGCTTCCCTCTTATTACCCCGTGTTGCCTAGTGTAGCGGTGCCTAGCGTAGACTCCCCTGCTGCGTCAGGCGTAGGATCTCCTGCTTTGCTTAGCCTTGGTGCTTCCACCGCTTCACTGCTGCCTCGCGCGACTGCTGCGCTTTCCTTCACCTTGGACTCTGGCGCCTCCCGGTGTTTCTTCCGCGACTCCACGACGCTGACGCCGCTGCCTGTTCCCGCTGCAGTTACTCTTGCTGACCCCTCCGGTGGTCCCGTCGTTGCCCGCAGTTCCACCTCCCTTCCCTGTCCGGCGGTTCCTTCGGGCACTCTCACAGGTCTGCATATCCCCTCGTTCTCCAGGAACCTAGTTGGTGTCGGCTGCCTCCAGGACCTTGGCGTCACCACTACGTTCCCTGGTCACGAGCGGTATGCTGTCTGTACCGAGGCCGCCACTGGTGCCCCCCTTACCACTTTCCCCCGGGACCCGGTGTCCGGCCTGTTCACACTTGACACCGCGCCGTCCCCGGCTGGGTCTTCCCCCCCGGTAGCTGCGTCCACCCAGGTTGCAGCCGCGTGCTCCTGTCGGTCCCTCACTCACCCGACTCTCCTTTGGCACCACCGCCTTGGTCACCCTGCACTCCCACGTCTGCGTCACATGTCCCAGCACGGTCTCGTCCTTGGTCTCCCCGGTTCGTTCCCCGAGTTTCCCTCCTCCCCCGCCCCACCGTGCACGCCTTGTGTCGAGGGCCGGCTCCGCCGTGCCCCTCACTCCTCCTCTTTTCCCCCTACCACCGCACCACTGCAGACTCTGCACATGGACGTCTGGGGCCCAGCCCCGGTCCATGGGCCGCGTCGCGAGCGCTTCTTCCTAGTGCTTGTCGACGACTTCACGCGCTACACCACCGTCTTCCCCCTGGAGCGGAAGGCCGACGTGCCTGACGTTCTCATCCCCTGGCTTGTCTCTGCTCGTGTCCACCGCGGTCTCCCTGCCTTGCGCCTTCACTCCGACCGGGGTGGCGAGTTTGCCTCAGGTGTCCTTGGTCGCTTCTGTCGTGCGGAGGGCATCACCCAGACGTTTACCCTGCCGGACTCCCCGCAGCAGAATGGGGTCGCTGAGCGACGCATCGGTTTGGTCATGGAGGTGGCTCGCACCTCCATGATCCACGCCGGTGCACCCCATTTTCTGTGGCCGTTCGCCGTGCGCTACGCCGCTCACCAGCTTAACCTGTAGCCGCACCCCCAGCGGCCGCAGGTTTCGCCGACCCTTCTGTGGACCGGGTCCCCTGGTGACGCGTCTGCGTTCCGCGTCTGGGGCTGCCTTGCTCACGTTCGTGCCTCTGGCACGGACAAGCTCACTGCCCGCACCCTCCCCTGCGTCTTCCTCGGTTTCCCCCTTGACGCGTCCGACTGGCACTTCTACCACCCGCCGTCTCACCGCTTCTTTCACTCTCGCGACGTCACCTTTGACGAGTCCGTCTCCTTCTACCGCCGCTTTCCCCACCGTGGTCCCCCGGTTACTCCCCCCCTTTTCCTGGTTCCTCCCTCCCTGGTGGTCCCTGCCCCTCCCCCCCCCGCCCCCCCGTCCGGCCCCCTCTGGTGTGTCTCACGTCACCCCCCTCCCGTCGGTCGTCCCGGTCGACGAGTCTTCTGACTCTGGTAGTCCTCCGGCGCAGTCCTCGCCGTCTGTCCCTCCCCCGGTGTCTCCTCCTCCACCGCCTCCGCAGCCGCCGTCGCCGCAGCTGCTGCAGCCGTCGTCTCCACCGCCGCAGCCGTTGCAGCCGTCGTCTCCGCCGCCGCCGCCGTCGCAGCCGTCGCTGCAGCCGCCGCCGCCGCCGCCGCCGTCGTCGCTGCCGCCGTTTGTGGACTCTGGGGGTGTCCCTTCTGGGGGTGCAGGTGTGGAGGGTTCGGGAGGTAGCCGTCGCGCAGCTTGTGGCCCTGGTGTTGGTGTTGTGTCGCCGCAGCAGCAGTCCCCGCCTGTGTCCGCCCTCCGTCTGCTCGGCCTTCCGTCTCCTGACCCTGCGCCTGTTCCTCTCCTGCCGTCTCCCCCTCTTCCCGTCTACGGCCCCGTGTTCCCTCTGCCAGACTCGTCCCCGGCTCGTCTTCCCCCTCGTTCCCCTCCTGTGTCCCCTCCTCTGTCTCCTGACCCGACGCCGCCCTCACACGTCTGGTCTCGCCGCCCCTCTCGTGCTCGTCCTGTCTCACCTGTCCCGCGCTCTCACCCTATGTTGCTCCGTTCCCACGCGTCTCGACCTCCCCTCCTCCCGTCTCCTCCTCCGTCTTCTCTTGTCGTTGCGTCTCCTCCTCTGTCCGACTTCTTTCGTGCCGCTCGTCCTCTTGTTCCTCGGGTCCTTGCCTCTCTCGTTACCGACCCGTCTGTTCCCGTGTCGAGTCTTGACGCCCTCGTCGCTGCGGTCGCTGACTTCGCCTCTACCCGCCGCCTTGACTACGCCACCGCTCTGGTCTCTCACCCTGCCTGTCCTCCGTCTGTCGGGGGTGCTCCTGCCCTCGGCAGTGACGTCCTGGAGGACCGCCAGTTTGAGCTTGCTTTCCTGTCCGAGGCTGCTCCCCATCTCTGTTCCATGGTGCTAGTCCCTGAGGGTGACCCAGACGCTTTCGACATCCCGACCCCTCGTACTTACGCTGAGGCGGTTTCGGGACCCTGGGCCTCTCAGTGGATAGCTGCCATGGAGCAGGAGATGGCATCTTGGAGATCCACCGGCACCTTCGTCGACGCAGTTCCCCCACCTGGGGTGAACGTGGTTGATGGCCGTTGGCTCTTCAAGGTGAAGCGCCCTCCTGGAGAGCCGCCTGTGTTCAAGGCGCGCTACGTGGCTAGAGGCTTCAGTCAGCGCGAGGGGGTGGACTTCTTTCAGACTTTCGCTCCTACCCCGAAGATGACTACTCTTCGGGTGCTGCTACACGTAGCGGCTCAGCGTGACTACGAGCTTCACTCCCTCGACTTCTCCACTGCCTTTCTTCAGGGCAGCCTTCACGAGCAGGTCTACCTGCGTCGCCCTCAGGGCTTTACTGGCACCTTCCCCCCTGGGACCCAGTGGCTTCTGCGGCGGCCAGTCTACGGCCTGCGCCAGGCGCCTCGTGAGTGGCACGACACTTTGCGTGCTACCCTTGCTGACCTGCAGTTCTTTCCGTCCTCTGCAGACCCCTCGCTCTTCGTTCGTGCTGGCTCGACTCCGTTCTACATCCTCGTCTACGTAGACGACCTGGTCTTTGCCACTGCTGACAGGGACGCACTGGCCTCCGTGAAGGCAGAGCTGCTGAAGAGACACACCTGCACTGACCTTGGAGAGCTGCGCCGTTACCTTGGCTTGCAGATCTCCAGGGACAGAGCCGCGCGCACCATCACCCTGACTCAGTCACACTTGGTGCGCCAGGTCCTTCAGAGGTTCGGCCTTCAGTTCTCCTCCGCACAGCCCACCCCTCTTCCTCTGGACCACAGACTCTCCGCTCCAGTTCCTGAGGAGTCGGTAGATCCCAGTGGTCCTTACGCTGAGCTAGTGGGTTGCCTCATGTACCTGATGACTTGCACTCGCCCAGATCTCGCATACCCTCTCAGCATCCTGGCTCGTTTCGTGGCCACAGGCAGGCACCGACCTCAGCACTGGTCTGCCGCTAAGAGGGTTTTGCGTTATCTTGCAAGTACATCGGGCATGGGGTTAGTGCTAGGCGGACGCAGGCCAGTGGTCCTTACTGGACACACAGACGCTTCTTGGGCAGACGACGCCGAGACGCTCAGGTCTTCCCAGGGCTACTGCTTTAGCCTTGGTTCAGGTGTTGTCTCGTGGAGAGCTACCCGCTCTTCGTCTGTTGCCCAGTCCAGCTGTGAGGCCGAGATCTACGCCGGTGCCATGGCGGCACAGGAGCTCCGCTGGCTGACCTTCTTGCTCACTGACTTAGGTGAGCGGCCTAGCTCTGCCCCGGTCCTGTACGCTGACAACAGGGCCATGATCCTCCTGTGTCAGGAGCCTCGACTCGAGGGCAGAGCGAAGCACATCCAGCTGCGGTACTTCCTCCTGCGTGAGCTACAGCAGCGTCGCCAGGCTCGCGTAGTACACTTAGCCTCCGGTGCCAACACAGCTGATATCTTTACGAAGGCGCTTGCGCCTAAAGATCATCAGCGGCACTGTGTACAGCTTGGTCTGGTTCCTGTAGTCTCTCACTTACTCGGGCCTTGACTCTGTACTGTCCTATATATCTGTGTGTACACTCAGACTGGACTTGTGTCCTCTTACAGTGGTTGGACTAGTAGTGCCGCCCTGTACTAGTTCTTGCCTTGCCTGTACTCCTTCTGACTGGTCTTTTAGACCCTTGTCTCAGAGGCTGGACTAGTAGTGCCACCCTGAGCTGCTTGTCTAGAACATTCCCCTATGCAGTCCAGGGGGTGTGTCAAACATGTTTAGTTATCATGCTTGTATAGACTGTATAGGGTCATCTTCTAGAGAGTACAACAGTTAGGTATATGTTTGTGTACTCTCTCTCTCTATTTATCAATTTCACTGTTTGTTACTATAATGTGGGAGTCAATCAATCAACTACTGGAGCTTTGACTAGCTTGTCCTATCACTGCACCTAGGGGACACATCTCTAGGTGAGCTTGCAATGCGATGTGGTTGTTTGCCGGACTAAGCCCGCGGTGTCAGTGCAAGCACCTAATGTGCAAGAGTCTCTGCATGTGCATGTGCACATGTGAATAATCATGCAGGCATGCACATGCACGTGTATGGGTGCATGCTCATGAATAAATGTGTCCCATGCATGTACGAGTCAGTGCAATGTGCATGCGCACGTGCATGTGGTGAGGCCGGCATGGCATGCGCGTGGCTCAGGACTTGACGCATTTGCCCTTGCGCATGACGTAGGGCTCCTTGCAGAAGCACGTTCCGCGGTAGTCCGCCACCTTGCATAGCGCGTTGGTCGGGCACTTCACCTTCGCACACAGGTCTGCCACGGGGAAGGTACGTGGGAGCGGGAGGGGAGGAGGCGGTTCTTTCAGAAAAGGGGAGAAGTGCGGGGAGGAATGGAGGGAGGCGGCAGGGAGGGCGGTGGCAGAGAGGAGGGCATGGACGGGCGACACAGAGAAGCATAGGGTGATGGACCATGCATGGCTGGCTAATCATCAACGCCAGTAGAGCATGCCTGTATCACCAAGACACCCATATGCCGTAGCGCCAGGTACCACTCAATGTGTATCAATGGCGGATCGCCCGAAATAACGGATGCCTATGGGCTGGTTACCGATGCATTTGTGCTTGTGCTTGACCAGCGGGGGAGGGCAGGAGCACACGGCCGTGCCGTTGGTGGCCACACACATGGAGGGCGCCGCACAGCGCGCTGCTGCACAGGGGTCTGGGGGAGGCGGGTTGTTGGGAAGGGTTAGGTGGGTGGGGGTGGGTGGAAAGAAGAGCGTGAGGTGGAGGGAAGCGGATGGGTCGGAGAGGGCTTGACGGTGCAGTTGCTTTGAAGAGGGGGGGAGTGCGCATATGGCAAGATGTGAGACGGTTGGCATGCGGATAGCGTGGGAATGGCATGTGGCCGACATGGGGCCGGCACGGAGACGGCACAGTGTGCCATAAGCGAGTGCTTCCCAGAGTGCAGGGCAACTACGCGACAAACAACAGCAAGAGCACCCGGGCAAGGCGAGCAGACGTACTGCTTTTATCGGAGCTCTTCTTAACGCACTTGCTGCCCTTCATCACCTGCCCCTTGGGGCACACGCACGTCACCTTGCCGCCCGCCACCTTGCACGTGCTGCCGCCCGGACACTTGGTGCTCAGACACAGGTCTGTGGAGGAGGGGGAAGGAGGGGGGAGCGGGAAGCTGGAGTCTGTTAGTTGCAAGTGACTTTTGAGAGAGAAGAATATCTGGAGCCGCTTGGGAAAGGTGGCGAGGGGGGTTGAGGCAAGGGCAGGGGACGAGGGACGAGGGACGAGGCCAAGGGAGGCGAGTAGAGCGGGGAGTCCCACAATTGCCTCGACCGTCCTACCTTTGGTTGAGAGCTCCCTGGAAGTACTTCGTGATAGCCGATCCCGTCCTCAAACCCAACCAACTTTCTACCTTTGAGCTACTTGGTTCGCGGGTATTTACAGGGAGCTGGGCCGAACAGGGGAAGGGTTCAAACAGACAAGGTATGAAGGTTAGGATGCCGGTAGAGAGAGTGAGGAAGGGCCGTGGAGAGAGGCGGCTCACGGCGTAGGGGTTACCTTTGCATTCAGAGCCGACGACGTAGTAAGGCGGCTTGCACGCACACGTGGTGGCACCGCCATCGTCCGCCTCGCACTCACGGTTCGTCGCACACCGCACCGCCGCACACGGGGCTGGCGACACAAGCGACATGCATGCGATGGATTGAGTAGACAGTAAATAAACAGCGACAGGCGCAGAGAAAAATGCCTCGAATTGATTCGAGATAACACAATAGGTTGGTGCAATGGGTAAGGGAAAACGGCTGTACATAGGTGACTTTTGAGTCGACTAAAAAGTCAAATTGTCGTCGAGCGGCTGTTAAAGCCGTTGAAGTCTTAGGTGGAAAAATGATAACGTGGCGGCCGAGGGGCTGCGACGTGGAGACAAGCGCGGCGATGTGCGGTGTGAGAAGAGAATGGGAGGACTGAGCGACTGTGGACGACACGGCGACGGAGGCGTACAGAGGCATTTGTCGCCCGATTTGAAGTAGCCGTTGCTGCACTCGCACGAGAGCGAGCCGTTCTTGTGCGTCACGCAGCGCGCGTTGGTGGGGCAGCGCACCGACGAACACGTCACGGGAATGCCTGGCCGGTTGAGAGGGTGAAGACACGGTGTGAGAGAGGGGGAGAGAGAAAATGGGGAGGGGGAGAGGGGGGAGAAGGGGGGAAGGGGGAGAGTGGGGGGAGAGAGGGGAGAGAGAGAGCGGGAGAGGGACAGAAGCAACATCAACCAAAACTGGAGACGATCGGACCGGAAACGGGAAGCCAGCGAAAACCTACCTTTGGCGTTGGCGGCGGCAGCGGCGGCGAGCAGTGCTAGGACGAGAAGAGCGCACGCATTAGGCTGACTCATGCTAGGTGGCTGACCCATGGTGCGCAACGCGCGAGCAGGCAACCTGTCCTCCGCTCCTAAGCTCTGAATACAGGTTTCCGAGGAAAATTAACTGCAATGTCGACTGATTTTTGGATAAATTGTTAGTATGAAGGTGCGACTCGGCTTCTCTGTGGAACGGCGAGGCAAAAGTGCGAGAATGGAATAGGGTACGAGCGCGGCCGGTATAACAGCAGGAGTATGCTGTCTCACGCCAGAACGAGCGTCGAAGTGGCATCAACGACTTCCATCAACTCGCCTCTGGCAGGCAAGGCTTGCTGGTTCCTTGGCCCATGCGTGTTCGTTGCTAGGGGGTGGAGGCTCGGGGGCGGGCGCAAAGGGGGGGGTTCGTTTGGGATTTGGTTTGTGGGCTGTGGCTGACGTGTGCTGCGAGCAATGTGAGTGAGAGAGGCGCACCGAAGCACCGCACATCCCGCAGCAAAGGCACGCGACGCGAGAAGTTTGCACAGCACTTTCGAAACCTTGCCGCACATCATGGTGGTTGTACAGATGTACAGCAAGTGCATTGGTTTGTGCATCCTCTTCTGCCTTAACGAAATTCTAAATATATAAAACCCTTCTTTCAATACCAATTTCCACCAACTACGATACATCAGCAAGAACAGCCACCTTTACTATGTACAGAATGATGACAGTCATGGAGCAGCAAGGATACCGGTACGAGAGTGTAAGCAGGTAATACGTACTGTTAGCACATCTACACTAACAGAACCTATAAGGGCACTATACAACTTCCCCCAATGAACACTGGTAGATGCTCCCAGCAGAAGGTGAATCGTTGGCTGTGCCGCACCACAATTCACACAGCAGCAGGAGCTGGGTTGAGTGGCGCTGAAACAAGAGACGATGAGAGGTGATCCGAGACACCGTGAGGTCGGGAGCAGTAGTACCATCTTGAGATCACTTGTTGTGAACGCGCGTCATCATCAAATTATCGTCCACTCATAAGCGCATGATCACACGGCTGGAGAGGAGCACAGCCCCCACAATAGCACGGACCAGCACCCGCTCCTTGTAGATGCTGCGCATGGGGAAGGACAGTCCACACAAGGATGAAAAGGTCGAATATAATAACTCAAAAGCCGTTTCCATAAGAAGGCGATGGGTAGCACAACAGAATTAGCTTTCATTGGAGAACACAGCAGCAGGGGGGGGAAAAAGCTCACCTAACAAGGAAGGAGGTGGCACAGGCAGTCTTGTACGCCCCTCGTCCCCACTGGTACATCTGCTTCATCAGTCCCTGGCGCCGTATGTGCTGGATGCCCGTTGACAGCGCTGCACGCGTGAGTTGGACACCGAAATAGAGTGGCGGAAAGGGGAAGAGAGTTGGGTTAGAGGAGGGGATTCAGCCAAGCTGCATGCGGGCATGAATACACAAAGTGAATGGCAATGACTGGAGGCACAGTGGATGGAGTAGAAAAGTGTTTTGCAATGCAGCACAGCAAATCGCTTACCCTTTTCCATCTCCTCTGGAGTGAGAGACTGCACGCAGCAACCGCCAGCACCAAAGCAAACAACCACACCATTCATCGCAGTGACAATTAACAGACGAAAAGAAAAGAGAGACAAATAGAGGAGGTAGGTAGTGAGACGTCGGGATAACTTGGGACCATAAGCATGCACCACAAGGCTGTTGACGCAGGGAAAGCAAGTCAGCTACATTGTCCTGTGCAAGTGGTCCATCCAGGTGGCAAGGGGACTGGGGAGGGCGGGGGGCGCAGGGAAGGGCACAGAGACGAGAGAGAGAGAGAGGAGGGGAACGAGGGGAGGAGAGAAGAGGACTTGGTAAAAACATAACGGAAATGCGAAGGGAGAGAGATGCGTAAGGGAGGGACGGGAGAGGGATGGGGTGGAGGGATAAGGGCGGTAGGGAAGGGGAGGGCAGGGGAAAGGGGAGCGAAGGGAAGAGAAGGGGGGAAGGAGGGGAGAGAGGGGGGTTATGGGAGAAGACCACAACAACAGCAGCCAGTGAGCGCCAGAGCGACCAGCAGAGCGACGAGCCGAGAGCGACCCATGGGCAGAAGCGCACCTGGTACTCGGGGTGCAGTGCGATATAGCGCGCAAGCACGTGCGCGATGCCGTCCACCACCTCCTCCACGTGCACCACCTCGTACTCGCCCTCGCCCTCCAGCGCCTCGCACGGCTCGCTCCCGTGCACCACGCCCGCGTCCATGTCCGTCACCCACTGCCACCACTCGCCCTCGCTCTCACTCTCACTCTCGCCCTCGCTTGATTTCTCCGCCGGTCTCTCGTTATCGAATGACCCCGCCCCCTCGCCCTTGCCCACCCCGTTTCCTGTCCCTTCGCCTGGCACGCTGCCCTCTCGCGGGGCCGCGACCTCTATGCGGCCTGGAGAGTGTGGGCAGGTGAGGCGAGCGGGGAGTGGACGGTGCGGGAGAGGGGGGGGGGGAGGGGACGGGGGGGGGGGGGGAGAGAGGAAGGGAAGAAGAGGGAGGGGGGGAGGGGCGCGTGAGGTGAAAGGGCGGAGGGTGTGGAGCGTGCGGTTTGCGGCGTGAAGGCAGGTCGCCACGAGACGCAAGCGATACATGCGTGAGAGTGGAGCGAACGGTGGTACCAGCGCTAATGGTGCGAACTTCGTGCGAGCCCGATCCGTCCGTAAGGTGCTCGGTGCCGTGTGCTCGGTACCGTGCTGGGTGCCTCCGGCGGTGCGCGCCACAGTCGCTTGTTCTACCTCCTTAGCTACCTGCGTCCACCAGCATGCGCGCCGTGCCGTGCGACGCCGCGCCGCCCGCCTTGAGCTCCGGCGGTCCCCGCAGGCGCAGCTGGAACTCGGGCGAGTTCACCTTCAGCTCGATCTGCGCCAACAGCTGTGGCAATAAGAGAGCGAGAGAGGACAGTAATGACGGGGGGGGAGGGGGAAGAGAGCAGTCACGGGAAGCACGGGAACGAGCGTTAGCACGGGGGGGGTGGGTGGTGGTGGGGGGGAGGGAAAGGGCAGGGGGATGGAGGGTAACTAGGGAGGGATAAAAGAGCACAGTAGGGCGAAACGTAATAATCCTCCTACCGCCTGCTTACTGCGGCATCCCTCATCCCTTCCCTTCCCCATCCCCTCCCCACCCCATCCTCATCCCTATCCAATCGACCCACATCCTCGTGCTGTTGCGCGCCCGTGCCGACTTTGTCGCCCATCCACGCGAGGTCTTCGGCGCGCTGCTGCAGCAGCTCCGTGGCCGCCATCTTGTATTCCTCCAGCATCGCCTGCAGCCGCGCGTTCTCCGCGCGCTCGCGCGCCACGCTGCCTTCCAGCCGCAGCGTCGCGTCCTCGAGGATCTTAAGAGCGTCTCCGCGCCGCGTGCGCTTCGAGACCAGGCTGGACACGCGCGACCACCCCGCCTCCGCGAGCTCCGCCGCCAGCAGGATGGGGTGCAGCGCTAGCATGGCGGCAAGCAGATTGGGGAGGAGTGGCGGGCGAGGAGGCAAAGGAGGCGGAGGAGGCGGTTGAGGCAGGTGAGGCACGTGAGCAGGTGAGGCAGGTGAGGCGGGTGAGGCAGGTGAGGCAGGTGAGGCAGGTGCGACGGGTGCGACGGGAGCGGCTGGTGACGCGGGTGAAGAGATTCAGTGGAGGGGAAGGTGGAGGTGCCGAGTGGATGTACTTGAGAGTGGGTGTATGTGACGTGGATGCTGTTACTCCATGTAAAGGCTAATTTGGCTTTAGTCAAAGCTTTAGTCAACTCTAAACAGCACCCTGTACAATTCCCTACTCTTTTTCTATTTTGTTCTTGACCCTGTGCACGGCCTACGCGCGGACTACTAGTATGTGAAGTGCGAGTGAACCAGCCTGAAACCCTCTAAAAAGCAGAAGATGGCAGCTAAGATGGAATCTGATGGCAGATGTCGCTGTCAGCTCACCACCATACATCACCTCCCAGCCCTGCAGCACCACTCTACTCGACTCAGCAGCACACAAACAACCCTAAAAATGAGAGCGATTTCAGCGAGTCTCTCGTCGACGTCATTTCAAGTGGTGCAGGGAGTTTGAGTGCATATTCATTGTCTTTCTGTGGGTTTCGACGTGGTGCTGAAATGTTTGTGTGACACCACCCTCGTCTTCCCGCCACACCACCATCTCGTTCGAGAATGAGGTTGGTAGAGAGGGAGGTACGACGCCGAGCCTGCAAATCCGTCTGCTCACGGAAATACCTCTACGAACAGAACTGGATTCGGGATGAGGTACGGCATTTTGCCTCGGCATACGTCCGACGGTTGTGACATCAACCACACGGTTCCTGATTGGTGATTTGATGAGAGGTACGTAATAGAACCGGTTTGGTGTGCTGGCATAATTGGTTGAAAAGACCTGGGCCCCTTACACCACCAGGGCTAACCGGCAGCTTCGAACCAGTGAAGCCTAGCAATCAAGGCCGAGCCATCTCCCAAGAGCAACCACAGGAAGCATGGTCACACTTACTGAGGGGAAAGTATACTGGCGCTCAGTATTAGGGGCCTCGATAACATGTACGGTCAGTGGCATGATACAAAAAAACAGAATTAGCGAGTTCGCAACATGAGTCATCAGTCGGGTTCCAACGTTAGTCAGAAACTGCACGAAAAAAGTTCCACGAATGGTCAGTAGAAGTAACCCCCGTCAGTCTCGGAACGTTTTCCTGCCCGTGCCAGCCCAATTTCGTCATCATTGTGGCTGACGCGATATTTTTCTGAGCTCCAGACGCAGTTCGAGCGAAAAAAAAGGCAAAATGCCCGAATTAAAATTCATTTGAAATTTGTCAGTCTGGAAACAAGAAAACACTCTTTTGTTTCGAAGCACATACATTTTTCACGCGGAAGTAGCTCATCCCACGATGATTAAAAATGGCGGCTTGGTCTCTACCGCATTTACATGTCAAATATATGCATAACTCATATTTGTATATACTGTATAGGGTCACCTCTTAGAGGGTACAACACTCTTAGGTATATACCCTTGTTCTCTCTCTCTCTCTATTCAACACTTATTCAGTTTTTCTTCTAACATGGTATCACCCGTAGGTTCGACCCCCCACCTACCGCTTCCGCCCGTGCCTCCTAGGCCCCGTCGCGCTGTCACCTAGGCCCCGTCGCGCCGCCCCCTCCTAGGCCCCGTCGCGCCCCTCCTCGGCCCCTATCGCGACTCCTAGCCTGTCGCGCCCCTCCTGGGCCCCCCGTCGCGCCTCCTAGGTCCGGTCGCGCCTCCTAGGTCCCGTCGCGCCTCCTAGGCCCTGCCGCGCTTCCTAGGCCCAGTCGTGCCCCTTCTGGGTCCCCGTCGCGCCTCCTAGGCCCCGTCGCGCCTCCTAGGCCCTTCCGCGCCTACTAGGCCCCCTCGCGCCCCTCCTGGGCCCCTATCGCGACTCCTAGCCCGTCGCGCCCCTCCTGGGCCCCGGTCGTGCCCCCTAGCCCGTAGTGCCCCTCCTGGGCCCCTGCCGCGCCTCCTAGCCCGCAGTGCCCCTACTGGGCCCCTCGTGCCTCCTCGCCCCCCGCCTTGCCTGCCTGGCCCCGTCGCGCCTTCCTGGCCCCGCCGCCCCTGCCTGGCCCTGTCGCGCCTGCCTGGCCCTGCCGCGCCTCTTGGCCCCGCCGCCTCTACCTGGCCCCGCCGCGCCTGCTAGGCCCCGCCGCGCCTGCCTGGCCCCGTCACGCCTGCCTGGCCCCGCCGCGCCTGCTAGGCCCCGCCGCGCCTGCCTGGCCCCGTCACGCCTGCCTGGCCCTGCCCCGCCGCCTGGCCCCGCCGCCCCTGCCTGGCCCCACCACCCCTGCCTGGCCCAGCCGCGCCTCCTGGCCCCGCCGCCCCTGCCTGGCCCCGCCGTGCCTCCTGGCCCCGCCGTGCCTCCTGGCCCCGCCGCCTCTGCCTGGCCCCGCCGCGCCTGCCTCGACCCGCCGCGCCTGCCTAGCCCCGCCAGCACCTGCATGGCCCCTCCCCTCCCTGCTCGTCCGTGCTGAGGCGCTTCGCGGCCGCCGTGCTGGAGGGGGCTGTCGCTGTGTTCCTGTGGAGCTGTGCCGCTGATCCTGCACGATGGCGGACTTCGTGCTCCGTCTGGACGACGAGGGCCATGCGATTGACTTCGCCGCATGGCTCTCCGATCTCCGCCGCCACCTTACAGGTCAGCGCCAGGATGGCCACTCCTTGGTTGTCCATGTCGACGGCTTGCTCCCCTGCCCCCCCGCCCCTGCTCCCCTCCCTGCTGATTCCTCCTCTGATGACCGTGAGGCCTTCTCTACTGCCGCACTTGCCCGTGCGGTTTGGGACTCCCGCGATGCAGTCGCTCAGGTTGCCATTAGCCACGCCCTCCCTGTCTCTGAGCGCTCGCGTTTTGCTACTATTGACACGGCCAAAGCTTACTTAGACGCTGTTATTGCTCGCGTCTGCTTCTGCTGGCCGCCTGCTCTTCCCTATGCTTTTCCCAGACCTTGCAGCTTTCCCTACCGTCGCAAACTTTGCCACTCACCTGCGTGCCCTAGAGACCCGCTATCGCACTGCCAGCACTGCTGCCCAGCTCACTGCGCTCCCCCCCCCTTTCTGCATGACGCTCTATTTTATCGCCATGCGCCTGCCAGACCACCTCGCTAGTGCCCGCGATCACTTCCTTAGCCAGCACCCCGGTGACCTCACCCTTACTGCCTTTTTCGATACCCTCACAGAGATCGAGACTCGCCAGCGTACTATTGCTCAGTCGAGCGGTGCGCCGGCAGTTTCTATCTTTTACGGTTGTGCCCCCTCCCAGTGTACGTTCACTGACGTTTCGGCTGCGGTCGCCTCGGCGGCCCCTCTCACTGAGACGGCTGGTGCGGTCCACCCGCAGCAGCGCCCGTGCCGTGGTGGCCGTGGTCGCCAGGGAGGTAGGGGTGGTGGCGGTAGTGGTGGTGACGGTAGTCCACCTGCGGCGACTACCACTGGTGGGCAGGAGCAGCAGCCCCAGCCGCAGCAGGAGCAGCCCCAGCCGCAGCCGCCGTCTCAGCAGCAGCCGCCGTCCCAGTAGCAGTCGCCGCAGCAGTGGGCCCGTCTCCCGCCTGTTTGGCCCGGCACCTCTGGAGGTAGTGGCCGTGGTGGCGGCCCGCGCAGCTTGGCGTCTACCGGCGGCTCCAGTGCTGTCACCTGCCAGTACCAGCTTCAGACCGGGCCTCTTCGCGGCACTGTGTGCCGCCGCCCGCACCCGACCGCCCGCTGTCTCCGCCGCCTCGACGATCTTTTTCGTCGTCGCTTTGGCCCGGCCCCGGACCTCCCCGACAGGCACAGCCTGCTCCGCCAGGGCGTGCCGATCTTTGAGTTACACATGGATCAGATAGGTGCTGCTGTGCATGCCTTGTATTCTGATGCTTCTAGTGTTGCTGGATCTTATTACCCTGTGTACTCTAGTTTAGGTGTTGCACCGTTGTGTAGCTTTGCTTCCCTTGCTGCGTCAGGCGTAGGACTGCCTAGGTTGCCTAGTCTAGTCGCCGCACAGGCTCCGTCCCTGGCCTCCGCCACTGCGTCGCTGTCCTTCACTCTCGACTCCGGGGCTTCTGCCTGTTTCTTCCGCGACCGGTCCACGCTCACGCCGCTCGCTGCACCTGCAGTTGTCTCTCTCGCTGACCCCTCTGCGGGTCCTGTCGTCGCGCGCAGTTCTACGTCTCTTCCCTGTCCGGCAGTTCCCTCGGGCTCCCTTACAAGCCTCCACGTTCCCTCGTTCTCCACAAACCTGGTTGGTGTCGGCTGTCTCCAGGACCTCGGCGTCACCACCACGTTCCCCGGACACAAGCAGTTAGCTGTCTGTTCTGAGGCTGTCTCAGGTTCCCCCCTTGCGACGTTCCCCCGGGACCCGGTGTCCGGTCTGTTTACCCTCGACACCGCTTCCCCCCCAGTTGGTGCGTCCTCCCAGGTCGCTGCAGCTTGCTCGTGTCGGTCCCTCACTCACCCCTCCCTTCTCTGGCACCACCGCTTAGGTCACCCTGCTCTCCCGCGTCTACGTCACATGTCCCAGCACGACCTTGTCTATGGTCTCCCTGCGTCGCTCCCCGCCCTTCCTCCCTCGACTGCGCCACCGTGCACGCCGTGCGTCGAGGGCCGGCTCCGCCGTGCCCCCCACTCCTCCTCGCTGCGCCCGGCCACTGCCCCCCTCCAGACCTTGCACCTGGACGTTTGGGGCCCGGCCCCCGTCCCCAGACCGCGCGGTGAGCGCTACTTCCTTGTGCTCGTCGACGACTAGACGCGCTACACCACGGTGTTTCCCCTGGAGTGGAAGGCCGACGTGCCCGACGTTCTTCTCCCGTGGGTTGTGGCTGCGCGTCTCCACCGCGGTCTCCCCGTGTTGTGTCTCCACTCCGACCGTGGTGGCGAGTTCGCCTCTGGTCGGCTTGGACAGTTCTGTCGTGCGGAGGGCATCACCAAGTCGTACACCTTGCCGGACTCGCCACAGCAGAATGGGGTTGCTGAGCGCCGCATTGGCTTGGTCATGGAGGTCGCCCGTACCTCCATGATCCATGCCGATGCCCCCCATTTTCTGTGGCCGTTCGCTGTTCGCTACGCTGCTCACCAGCTTAACTTGTGGCCACGCTCCCAGCGGCCGCAGGTTTCGCCGACCCTCCTTTGGACCGGGTCCCCCGGTGACGCGTCTGCGTTCCACGTTTGGGGCTGCCTTGCTTACGTTCGTGCCTGCCTCTAGCACGGACAAGCTCACTGCCCGCACTGTCCCCTGTGACTTCCTCGGTTTCCCCCTGGACTCGTCTGGCTGGCTTTTCTGTCACCCGCCGTCTCACCGCTTCCTCCACTCTCGTGACGTCACCTTTGACGAGTCCGTCTCCTTCTACCGCCGCTTCCCTCACCGAGGTCTCCCAGTTGCCCCCCCCCTGTTCCTTGCTCCCTCTCCCTCGGTAGCCCCTGCCCCTCCTCCGCCTCGTCCTGCCCCGTCTGGTGTCTCTCACGTCACTCCCCTCCCGTCGGTTGTCCCCGTTGAGGAGTCTGCTGACTCTGGTGGTTCCCTCGGTCTGTCCTTGCCGCGTCCCCCTTCCCTGGTGCCTCCGCCCCCACTGTCGCAGTCGCCGACCCCGCTGCAGCCACCGCTGCCGTCGCCGCCGCAGCCGTCGTCGCAGCCGTCGCCGCCGCAGTCGTTGCCGCCACTGCCGCCGCCGCTCTTGGCTTCTGGGGGTGCCGCTGGTGTTGGAGGGGGTTCTCGCTATGGGGGTGCTGGTTCTGTGGGTGCTGCTGTTGAGGGTTCTTCCGACGGTCGTTCTTCCTCTGCTGGTCCGAGAGTTCCGGCCCAGCCGTCGTCGCCGCCGTAGCAGCCGTCGCCGCCGGTCTCCGCTCTCCGCCTGCTCGGCCTTCCCTCCCCGAACAGCGCGCCGGTGTCTCCCCCCCCGCCTGCTGACCTTCCTGTCTACGGTCCTGTGTTCCCGCCGCCGGACTCGTCTCTGGCCCGTCTTCCTCCTCGTTCCCCTCCTGTGTCTCCTCCGCTGTCCCCTGACCCTACACCTCCGTCTCACATTTGGGCTCGCCGTCCCTCCCGTGCTCGTCCTGTCTCTCCTGTCCTGCCCACCCACCCTATGTTGCTCCGTTCCCGCTCGGCTCGTTCTCCCCTCCTCCCGTCCCCTCCTCCCTCGTCCCTTGCTGTTGCACCTCCTCCGTTCTTTGACTACCTTAGTGCTGCTAGTCCCCTTATCCCTCGGGTCCTTGCCTCTCTTGTTACCGACCCGTCTGTTCCCGTCTCGTGCCTTGACGCGCTTGTCGCTGACTTCGCCTCTACCTGCCGCCTCGACTACGCTACTGCTCCGGTCTCTGACCCTGCCCGTCCTCCGTCCGTCGGGGGTGCTCCTGCCCTTGGCAGTGACGTCCTAGAGGACAGGCAGTACGAGCTTGCTTTCCTTTCCGAGGCCGCTCCCCATCTCTGCTACATGCTCCTAGTCCCTGAGGGTGACCCAGACGCCTTCGACATCCCGACCCCTCGCACCTACGCTGAGGCCACCTCGGGACCTTGGGCCTCTCAGTGGATAGCTGCCATGGAGCAGGAAATGGCATCTTGGAGGTCAACCGGCACTTACGTTGACGCAGTTCCCCCGCCTGGGGTGAACGTAGTCGATGGTCGGTGGCTCTTCAAGGTGAAGCGCCCCCCTGGAGAGCCGCCTGTCTTCAAGGCACGCTACGTGGCCAGAGGTTTCAGTCAGCGACGGGGTTGACTTCTTCCAGACCTTCGCCCCGACCCTGAAGATGACCACTCTTCGGGCGCTGCTACACGTAGCAGCACAGCGTGACTACGAGCTTCACTCCTTCGACTTCTCTACTGCCTTTCTCCAGGGCAGCCTACACGAGCAGGTCTACTTGCGCCGACCACAGGGCTTCACTAGTACCTTCCCTCCTGGGACCCAGTGGCTTCTCAGGCGCCCGGTCTATGGCCTGCGTCAGGCTCCCCGCGAGTGGCACGACACGCTACGTGCCACGCTAGCAGACCTGCAGTTCTTTCCGTCCTTTGCTGACCCTTCACTGTTTGTGCGTTCCGGCCAGACTCCGTTCTACATCCTTGTCTACGTAGACGACCTGGTTTTCGCTACCCCTGACAGGGACGCACTGGCCTCTGTGAAGACTGAGCTGCTGAAGAGACACACCTGCACTGACCTTGGAGAGCTGCGTCGCTATCTTGGCCTGCAGATCTCTAGGGACAGAGCAGCACGCACCATCACTCTGACCCAGTCACACTTGGTGCGTCAGGTCCTTCAGAGGTTCGGTCTTCGGTTCTCCTCTCCACAGCCCACACCTCTACCTGTAGACCACGGGCTTTCCGCTCCTGTTCCTGAGGAGCCAGTAGAGCCCAGCGGCCCCTACGCAGAGCTGGTGGGTTGCCTCATGTACCTGATGACCTGCACTCGCCCAGATCTCGCATACCCTCTCAGCATCCTGGCTCGCTTTGTGGCCACTGGCAGATATCGACCACAGCACTGGTCGGCCGCTAAGAGGGTTTTGCGATATCTAGCAAGTACATTAGGCATGGGGTGTTAGGAGGATGCAAGCCAGTGGTACTCACTTGGCACACAGACGCTTCTTGGGCAGACGACTCTAAGACGCTCAGGTCATCGCAGGGCTACTGTTTTAGCCTTGGTTCGGATGCTATCTCTTGGAGATCCACTCGCTCGTCGTCTGTTGCTCAGTCGAGCTGTGAGGCTGAGATCTATGCTAGTGCCATGGCGGCACAGGAGCTCCGCTAGCTGACCTTCCTGGTCACAGACTTAGGTGAGCGGCCTAGCTTTGCCCCGGTCCTGTACGCTGACAACAGGGCCATGATACTCCTGTGTCAGGAGCCTTGACTAGAGGGCAGAGCGAAGCACATCCAGCTGCGGTACTTCCTCCTGCGCGAGCTACTGCAGCGCCGCCAGGCCCGCGTAGTTCACTTGGCCTCTGGTGCCAACACAGCTGATATCTTTACGAAGGCACTTACGCCTAAAGATCATCAGCGGCACTGTGTACAGCTCGGTCTAGTTCCCGTAGTCTCTCACTTGCTAGGACCTTGACTTTGTACTGTCCTATATATATCTATGTATGTACTCAGACTGGACTTGTGTCCTCCCCTAGTGGCTGGACTAGTAGTGCCGCCCCGAGCTGCTTGTTTAGGATTTGCCCCTATGCAGTCTATGGGGTGTGTCAAATATATGCATAACTCATATTTGTATAGACTGTATAGGGTCACCTCTTAGAGGGTACAACACTCTTAGGTATATACCCTTGTTCTCTCTCTCTCTATTCAACACTTATTCAGTTTTTCTTCTAACATTACAGCCCCAAAGAAAATTCAAGCCATAAACTTGTTTTTATTCCCGAGTCGCCCAAAAGCAATAACATATATAGATAGCTACGGAGGTTTATTTTTGGGAAATGAATATGTTTAAAGCACGTCAAGGTACTCTCAGAACTGCATTCAATTATATATTAATTTCAATACAACAAATCTATTAGAAGTCTGCTGGTTGTCTTTTGATTTTTCCAGCAAATGTATTTACGAGAAAAGTTTTCCGTCGAATTACGACTCTACAAATCTTGTCATGCACGAAACAAATTAGCGCATGCGCACTACAATTTAATTTTCAAGCCGCATTTGCTTAGTACCGATCTCGGATAGATTTGCCCTTTCGTATCAAATGTTTTCGTTTTTTGTGTGTTTGTAAAAGTTTGAAATAACTTGTCCAATGTTGTAGAAGACTAAGTATAAAACTGCAAACACAAACACTTGGAAATCCTCAAGTGTTGGTCCAGGATCTTTACTGGAATGGTAGACTAGTTAAGACAGCGGAAGTCTAGTAAAGGATAATAGTCAAAGATTGAATAATCTGAGTATGTGAACTTGTGGGTAATTCAAGTTAATAATGAAAAGACCTAACAAGGATTTATAGTTCTAAGAAAAGTACCTAGTCGCTAATGTACCTGTTTGTCACTATCGCGCTATGCGCTCTAAACGATGATGAAGAGGTGCGACTGTTCGCGTGACTGAAACGACTGTCCTATGACGAGCGCTATTTGCTGACATCATTCTACGGACTTATGTTCTCTAGAAAGATTCGACACTATCTACAACTAATCGACTTACATAAATGCTAAGTATCAATTATATCACAACACTCCCCTTCATTTCTGGAAGGTCGATAGTGTCACTTCTTGAAGATCCCGCAAAGCTTGTTACCGTACTGGAACTTCTGTCGTGTCAGTTTCTTCGTGAGGAAATCGGCAGCCATTTCGTTGGTCGAACAGTACACCAATCGCATCCTCCCCTTCTAGACTTCATTCTTCATGAAAAGGTAACGTAGAGAAATATGTTTCGTCCTGTTGACGAAGCCGGGCTGATGCGCGATGCGAATTGCACTTTGATTGTCGCACTGTAGGGTAAACTGGGTAGTTGTCGTCAACTTCGCTTCTTCCAGTAGTTCCTGTAGGTAGAGTCATTCGCGTGTTGCTGTGCATACAGCAATAAACTCAGCTTCAGCAGAGGAGAGAGCAATCAACTCCTGCTTCGTCAAATTCCAAGAAATAGGCCCGATAGGTTCAAGCCGGTAGACGAATCCAGTGTGCGAACGTCGATTAGTAGTGTCAGCAGCGTGATCGGCGTCGACGAAACCGTATAGATATAGTGTTTTGCAACCGATGACGTTGTAGACTAAGACGACGTCAGGTGTCGAGATGAAAAATTGAAGCGCACGAAGAAGATCAAGTTGATGTTCTTCTTCGGGTCGACGTAGGTATTGAGCGAGCTGACTGGCCGCGTAAGCTAGATCGGGACGACAAGTGACAGCGGCGAAGAGTAGACAGCCTAACTGCTGTTGATAGATTTGTAAACCGGTTGGACTCAACAGTGCGGTATTCGGTTTGTAGTCAGTTGGTAGAGATCGGTAAGGTGTAGAGACTGTAGTAGGAGTGAGCTTGAAGCGGGCAGCGAGCGTTGTTGCGTACTTAGAAGCAGTGGGGTGAATCGTTGTCGGTGAACAGGTAATGTTCAGACCGAGAAATGGTGAAACTGTTTCTGTGACGGTAAGCTGTAGATTTTTCTATAGTTTCAGTATAAAGATGTCGGCGAGCGAATCAGTAGTGCTGATGTAGAGAATGTCGTCGATGTTATAGTCACAATAGGCTCAGATGTGCCTATAATGAGAGATAGAGAGCACAGTCGGATTTCCGTCAGACGGCTTCAAATATTGATAACGATCTGCTCGCTGACTGAGGGCATTACTGTCGTCTATCAGCAGCAAGTTGAATCATGAAATTCCATGAAGATTTGACGACGCTATGGCGGTTTGACTGGCAGGAGGTACAGCAGCCACTATAGTCTTAGGAGTACAAAAACTTAGGAAGAAGAATTCGAGAGGGAGATGGTTCCCAGCCTCTACATACCCCAAGAGCCGAGGTCCAGGTTGGTGGTACACCACCACAGAGTCCCCAACCACGAAGAGTCTCGAAACCAACCCTCCAAGGGGCTACACCAAGTGAAATATAACACTACACGAAGTAGCGTTAATATTTTCACTATTTAATATTTATCCGCGTCCCTTGGGCTTGAAATCTTGAGCTCTTGGTCTTGGAAATGCAAGATAAATTCTTCTTGAGCTGATGGGGCTTGCTGCACACACCTGCAATGCGATGGACACTTCACACTCGACAAAAATAGAAAAAACACATGCGACACACAAATGACGACTTGACACGCAAGTTGTAAAAACTCGCTAATGTCTTGACCGACACAAACCACATTGTGATACACCATTCAAACACACACACAAGCACTAGATAGCAATGACATAGACTCACAATTCATTCCATGCCATGCATGCACACACACAAACAAGGACGACAAGCCGAGTGCAAGCCATAGGGTTGCACCAACAGTCGACGTAGGCGACAAGTAAAATGTAGTTACTGCCGTCGGTCAGAAGATACATTCCCTGGTCATGCGGTAGCTGTCAAAATCTGGCAGTGATTATTTGTGAGTGAAGGTACTGCTGCCAGAGCCGTGGTGCCTGTTCAATGCAGTACAACGATTTTCGGAGACGACATACGCTCGGTGGGTTAGTAGTATAGGAATGCGGGTACTCTACCAGGATGAGTGCGTCAACGGGCGCATAGAGAAACGCATTTGATACGTCGATTTGTCGAAGTCGTAGATTACGGCAGGCGGCGACACAGAGTAGAATCCGAACGCTTGTATGTCGACCGATAGGAGCAAATGTTAGTTCGTAGTCGATGCCATAAGTCTGCTCGAGCCCGCGGACCACCCATGGCGCCTTGAATTTCTCAAACGACCCATCTGCATTAGTCTTGACGCGGAAGACCCATTTTCCGGTAAGTACCTTCTTCCCTTTTACTGGTATTAAACGGCACTTCTGGAGATTATGAACGTGTGCTTGCACTTCAGAAGAAGGTACCTTCTTCCCTTCAAGTGCAAGCACACGTTCATAATCTCCAGAAGTTCATTATGCTGCGAACTGAAGAACGGACACTCCATGTTGAGTGGCGGCACGACCAAGATAAGTATTTGTTGAACTGTGCCAGAGCTCCTGATCCATCGTTTCACAATTGCCCTGTGTGCGGATTTTGTGTGCCAGGAGTTGAGCCGTGGAAAGAAGATTGAAGCCAAGACCAGCGACGATAAGAACATTGGTAACATGTAGTGAGTATCCCGTGTAGATAGATTCGAGCATTACGCTCCCAACAGAACGTGCCATAATCGTTTGCCCGTTTGCGACTGTGACAGGTATCGGACGACGAAGTGGACGCTGGTTGGTGATAAAACTTGTTTCTGCGGAGCACATGTGCCAACCGCAGCAGCTGTCGAGGTACCAAGTATTCGGACCTGAAATTATTCGAGCAAGATTAGCGTAAACTTGAGGTAAGGGAATTCCTTCAGCACTTGTGGTTTCTTCAAATCGTGTCTCGAAATCTGTTTCTGAAACATCGACTGTTGTAACACACCCAAAAACCCCTTTTCCTGATGTGGCAGATGCGAAAACCGGAGGACGATGCTGTGATGGAGACGGATTCTGCTGCGGTTTCGGCATCTGCTGCTGCTGGGTAGTCGACTGCTGCAGTGGCTGTGGTGTCTTCGGTGACTGCTGCGATCGGTGATATGGCTGAGAAGTGCTGCGGCGATTTTGATGACGGCTGCGACAGTTTTGGTAAGTATGTCCTGGTTTCTTACAGAAATGGCAGAATGGATATTTTGGAGGATGTCGTTGCTGTGGTTCTGGATTGGAGTAAAAACTTAAATGAACCCCTTTCTTCTGATTGCATTGTGACTGTAGGTCAAGATCTTGCTGCTCTGCTTGAAGATATGAAGAAATTTCGGCTTTGGAAAGGTTCGGGTTCATTCGCAGGAAGGCGCGTGTCTGTCGCCATTCGGGTCCAAGACCAGCCAGAAGTACCGTGAGATACATCTCACGAGGGAAGTATCCTCCACTTTTCTCCAGTTGATCTCGCAGCATTCGGACGCGATTAACGTAGTCCATAACATTTTCGTTTGTCTTCATCTGCACACTTGTCAGCTGCGAAAGGATCTTACTCACTGTTATTGTATCCTTTGCCATGTATACCCCCTTCAGATGATTCCAAGCAGTTTCGGCTGGTGTAAAGCTTGAGTGAAATGATCGGACGCCGAGCTGCTCCTTCGGCGACAAGTTCCGAACAAGAACTGTATAAGCCCCGAGAGATGCGTGCAAGAAACTCTGCTGCTCCAGTTGTGTCCCCACAATAGGATACGTGAACTCGCCAGTGAAGAACAGCCACAACCCAGCGGACTCCGTTAAAAGGTATAGTGGTTTTTATCTGTGTGCTGTTAAGTAAATTTGGAGGCTGAAAAACAATACCCGGCTGTTGCTGTTGTTGCTGTTGCTGTTGTTGCTGTTGCTGTTGTTGCTGTTGCTGTTGGAATTGCTGTGGCTGCTGATGATGCTGTTGTTGTTGCTGTTGTTGCTGAGCAGGGGAACGACCGAAGATGTAGAAAGGATGCTAAAACTGCTGCGACTGCGGCTGCTGTACAAAAGGTGAGAAAGCGAACGAACCAGTTCTAGGAGCTGCGGCTCCACGCATGTAACTCGAGCCGTCAAGGCTCATTCCACTGAATGCTGAAGAAATTGATTGCGTTGAAACTGGTGGCTGTACTGACGCTTGTTGCTGTGCTGTCGTCTGTGTTTGGTGTTGTGTTGCAAGGGCAGTTGATGACATCCCTGGAGTATTGGCAGAAGGCGGATTCTGCTGCTGCATACCAATATGCGCATAAGCTGGTGG